TTTCGTGATTACAATACTTCCTTTACTTCGTACAAGGAAGTAATAACGGTAAAATCCCCAAAAATGTAATCGTCTGCGTTTTGTTCAAGCATATGAAAACGAGACGTGTTAGAGTCCTTTGAAATATTTAAAATTTTCTTATAACATCAATAGCAGTTTGTACAGTTCCTCACTGTTTCTGTACTAAAATGAACATTAAGGAACCTTTTGAACCTTTGTTAGTGACTTATCGCTGAGTTCAAGCAACTAAGACGTAGACTCAAGAAGGGTTAAATACCCTTTCTTTCACTTAACAGTTGGCCCTTTCTTAGGTTTACAATAGAGCCTCCACTTGGACTTAAAAATAAGAAATAAGAGCTAACTTAGGACTAGCTAAAAGAGACTTAGCCGAAGCTAACACAAATCTAACTTAGTTGACCCTTAATTTAAACTAGCCGACGAATATCAAAAGGTACGTAATATACGGCCGAGCATAACCACTTTTAAAGATACTTACGCGGAAGGCAAACGCGCGGTACTCAGAATTCCTAGCTCTGTTTCTCTAGAAGTAAACTGAACCTTTCTTTAATACTTCTTCTAACGCATTTGCACTCAACGCGGTTTTAAAAACTTATTCTGGTAGAGAGATGTAAGCTCGAAAAACCAGAATTGAAAGGAAAGGTTATCTAAATTAAAATAACTATTATAAAATTAAAATATACCTTACAAGCTCTAAATTTCAATTATTTTACACTTAAAAACATTCAATAAAACTGTTAATAATGTGCCATTAGCTAAATTCTTATACAATATGAACGTATTTGATTAATTCAAAGAAGGAAAGCGTATTTAAAAAAAATTAACATACAATGATTTCTTTCTTTCCTTTTTATATGTTTCTTTCGCTCTCTTGCTTTGGTTTTTGAGCTTTTATGGCTTCGCTATTTCCGCAATGCAAATTCCTATAAAAGATGAATAAAAGTTTTTAAAAAGTGAGATCTAAAAGGAGAAAAATCACAAAATTAAATAAAAATCTGAAAACTTTTGGATTTTATATTACTTTGAAACAGGCGTCTGCAGACACATTCGAGAGCATTTGGGCTAATGCCAGATTGGGCTAAAAATATTTAAAAACAGTACATCTTTAGAATTTCCGTTAGACAGTCTCCTGCGCTGGAGATAATTTTTTATTTTTTTTATTTTCTAGAGTGTTGCCACTGCTCGTTTTGAAATCGTTGAGTTTTTAAACAAAAATGCGTTAAACTTTTATAAAATCCGAAATTCGGGCTTCCAGTTGCACATGTTCGGGTAGAGGACTACGCTATTCAAAATTAGATGATTGTAGGTACCTTTTTACTTCCTTTTACGAAGTAAAAAGGAAGTAAAAAGGTACTTCGTAAAAAACTACTTTTTACGAAGTAAAAAGGAATGTAATCGCGGAAAAAAGTTTCAGGCAGCACATTTCAACGAAATATCCACTTTTGACCGCTTTTCGAATGCAATTTAACGATGTTTTTACAATGGATATCTGTACGTAAGGACAGAATAAAAGACTCTTTTCCTCCAAAAAAACTAAAAAATTGCTTTAAAATGAATTCTGAAGAGAATTTTTCGTGGCGTCTGTACGAACGTACGTACGTACGTACGTATCTCACATAACTCAAAAACGAGTAGCCTCAGAACGTTGAAATTTTGTCTATGGGACTGCTATAATATGTAGATGTGCACCTCGTAGTTTGGTTGCAATCGGCAGCACCAAACGCATATAAATATATTTATATCTATATCCACTCTGTTACCCTGCTCTGTGATCTCAGTTTCTTTACTCTTATATGTTTGTAAATTGTACATTTTTTGTTTTAAAAATGATTGAATTATGTGGTTTTTAACTTCCGGTTAAGGGTTTTATGCCTTAGTAAATCTGTATGCAATATTTTAGAATTATCAACAATTTTAAAATTGTTTAAGTGCCGCTAAGCCTAATTTGATGGGCGGCCATTGCTCTTGTTTACATTGAAACAGCGAGTAGCGGATTGTTGCCAATCTAGAGAAACTTAGCTTCGCAACAACAAAGATAACGCCTTCATTTATTATTTAAATCATGCTTAATCCTTTCTGGAATTTTTTCGAGGAAATAAGCGTTTAAGATTTACTTCGTAATTTTTAATACAGATATTTTGAGTTTTTATGTATTTTTGCCTTGCCGCGAAGTGAGTGAAAACTGAATTAATTGAATGAGAAAATACTCAATCGTCTGTGAAAAACTGTTTCTTTTTTGGGTTGGTTTGTTGCTTAATTTTCTTTTATACATCGTTCTAGCTTTATTATAGTATTTGAATAGAACATGTGGCAACGATTAGATAATTCTTTAAATGATATAAAATTTTGTGCATTCTGAGTTATAATATGTGAACGAATATAATACTGTTAAGTAAACCTAGCGCCAGAGTGTCGCTATGGTAAACAAAGTGAATTTTAAAGAATGCATTTATTCTATTGTGGTTTATGCGCTGTCGGCGAAGTAAGTTTAATTCAATCTAATAAGTTTTAAACGAAATGCAAGAAAAATGCGTATAATTTAATATTCCGTACAAGGAAGTCATGTGGTGTACACATCAGATTTTTTTTTCACAATGCGAGAAACGTACATACATTCATGCAGCTTCTTCATTATTTAGTTTCTTTAAATACAAAACAGGGCAATAATAATTTGGTGGCAACAATTTGAAAAGTGACACTGCCGTTTATAGTGATTCGACGCAAAATGACGTTTCAAGACTAATAGCTCTTCTGGGATAAATAACTTAGAGTGCAATATTAATTCTGTATTTATTCAAAAAAAATGATAAAATGACTTGAACTCTATGTATATTATTGAACTATTCATTTCGAATTTGCAAAGCTTAGCAATAACATTTCTGTATTATGCCTAGCTAATTGGACTATTGGATTTCAACTATTTCAATCGAGTTACAGAGTTTAACTCAGATTCATTAAAAACAGGTCAATGGAATAATAATTAAACATTTATTTCTAACCAGATCGCTGCCAGTTGCAAAATTAAAAGTAGTTACAAACTAAACCTCTGGTATTATGAAGCATGTAACAAACTTAATAACAACCAGCAATTATATGTTAATTAAAGGTTTGTAAACCTATTTTCCTGAATGGATAACTTTGGAGTAACCTGTATTATTAGTAATTAAGTTATGCTACATCTTCTTAAATTATAAGAATTCCTTAATGGAATGAAACAATTTAGGGACAGAAGAAGTCCCCCCGCTCCCAGTGGCGGGCCCTAGCCGTTTATATGCGTTGGTCACGACTAAGGCCGGAAGCGGTAGTCATTTTATTATGGGGGCACCTAATAAGTGGGCGGTCGTCGCCTCCTATGAAGGGACAGACAATTTACATCCATGTCTTCTCCAGGATTCGAACTTCGGCCCTTTGGTACGGCAGTCTGAGACACTAACTGGTGTCAACTAATATATTCTTATCAATATAACTAATACATTCTCATCTGGGTGGCGAGAGAGAAGAAAATAAAAGAACAAATTAATTCAAAGTTAATGGATGCATGGTCACGCTATAAACCAAAATTAGTTATGCGACTTGAATTAACTCATTAGTAACAAAAAAGAATAAAAAGTATATATACCTATGATTGCAATGTCAAAGGGAAAAAAGTTTCAGCCATCAACCTATATTTTTTCCTATATTTTGTTTAATAAAATAGCATTCTTGAATAGACATTGCCATTTCAAGGAGAATTTTTTTAAAGAAACATATGAACCAAATAAATTCAGCGAAGCAAACAGGAAAAAAAAAAGTGGAAAAACATATCATAAAGCGTCAAAATAGCGCATGCGTGGACCACATCGTATTTTACTGATAAAAACTGACTGACAACAGGATGTTCTAAAATTTAAGCTTTAATCATATGAAAGAATATTAACTGATAAATTTCTTATATCATCAAAGAAGACTGTTAAATTCACTTGTTGCCATTGCTCGCTTTGAAATCGTTGCGTTTGTTAGTCAAAAATTCGTTAACGTTTTACAAAATATAAAACAGATAATAAAACAAATTCCACATTCCAAATTTGGGCTTCCATATGCCAATATTCGAATGGAAACGTACGTTATTCAAAGTTTGATGGCTCTAGGTACCGTTGTTTTATCACAATGCGAAAAACATACATACATTTATGCAGATTCTTCATTATTTAATTTCTTTAAATATAATACAGGACTATTTGGTGGCAACAGTTTGGAAAGTGAACCGACATTAAAAGTTTTTAACGCAAAATGCCAAAACGAAATTAATAGCTCTTCTGGGCTAACGTTCTTTGGACTAAAAATGCATTGCAAATTGATAAGGTTTTGATACATTTTATAATTTAATTAAAAATTTTAATGTGCAGAAATCCGCTCATATTTGGAATATCTGAAATTCATGTCGCCTAGAAGGGCGCCAAATGTTATGGTAACCTTTTACTTCCTTGTACGAAGTAAAAAGGAAGTATTGTAATCGCGAAAATTTTCAGGCAGCATATTTAAACGAAAATATCCATTTTGATCGCTATCGAATGCAATTTAACGATGTATTTGCGTGATATCTATACGTAAGGACAGAATAAAAGACTCGTTTCCTCCAAAAAAAATTATAAAACTGCTTTAAAATGAATTCTGAAGAGAATTTTTCGTGGCGTCTGTACGAACGTATGTACGTACGTGCGTGCGTACGTACGTATCTTGCATAACTCAAAACCGAGTAGCCTCAGAAAGTTGAAATTTTGTATATAGGACTGCTATAACATGTAGATGTGCACCTCGTATTTTGGTTGCAATCGGCAGCACCAAACGTATATAAATACTATATTTATATATATATCCACTCTGTTACCCGGCACAGTGATCTCAGTTTCTTTACTCTTATATGTTTGTAAATTGTACATTTTTTGCTTTAAAAATGATTGAATTATGTTATTCTTATCTTCCGGTTAAAGTTTTTATGCCTTTCGTAAATTCTGGAAGCAATATTTGCACAATTATCAACAATTTAAAAGCTGTTTAAGTGCGGTTAAGTTTTAAATAACATGGCGAACATATTTGTTTGCATTTGAAACAGCAGAATTGTAGATTTGTTGCCAATGTAGAGAGACTAAGCTTCGCAACAACAAAAATAAAGCCTTCATTTATTATTGCGAATTAAATCATGCTTAATCCTTTCTGGAAATTTTTCGAGGAAATAAGTGTTTAAGATTTACTTAATTTTTAATAATTAGTAATTTTTAATAGAGATATTTTGAACTCTGATGTATTTTTGTCTTGTCGCGAAGTGAAAACTGAATTATTTGAAGGAGAAATACTCAATGGTCTGTGAAAAAATGTTTCTTTTTTGTTTTGTTTGCTTAATTTCTTTTTTACATCGTTCTACCTTTATTATAGTATTTGAAAAGAACATGTGGCAACGATTAAATAATTCTTTAAATGATATACATTTTGTGCATTCTGAGTTATAATATGAATGAAATATAATACTGTTAAGTGAAACCTAGCGCCCAGAGTGTCGCTATGTTAAACAAATAGAGTGAATTTTAAAGAATGCCTTTATTCTATTGTGGTTTATGCGCTGTCGGCGAAGTAGATTTAATTAAATCCAATAAGTTTAAAAGAAATGCAAGAAACAAATGCGTATAATATAATATCCCGTACAAGGAAGTCATGTGGTCTACACATCAGATTTTTTGCTTCGGTAGAACGCCTTTTGACAGCAGCGAAAGCTGTTGATAGAATTTGAATGCAACAGGCATATTATTTTGCCATATAAAATTGTTTATTTGAAAGTATCTTAGAGTATAGTTTGAAGATTATACATCTTAGAGTATACCTTAAAGATTATTCATATTGTATATAGTTGCATAGAATAAAAAATTTAAATGACTAAGACGATTCAGTT